CTCTTCCTTAAAAGTTCACCACAGAAGAGCCAAATATTTTTTTTAAGTGTCGCGTACAACCAAAAAAAAACTGTACGCCCCCTTTTAATCCCAAGAATTGGGGTTTCCATTGAGCACTCCGCCCTCCCCCTTATTCTTTTAAACCTTTTTTTATTTTTTGCGAAAGATAATGTGCTTGCTCCAACAAGTGCCCCCACCCCAACTCGAACCCAAGAGCGGGCGGTGGTGACAGTCCGGCACGGGGCGGGGGTGCCGGGCCGAGCACGGGGCGGGGGCCGGGGTTTCGGCCCGCCCCGGGAGCCGGCCCCTCGGAGCCGCGGGCCCTGCAAAGGGACGTGTTCTCCTTTAAGAGTTAAGAAACTTGAAACCTTGTTTGCGCAACAATCAGCGCCGCGGAGCCGCCAAAGTGTCTAGACTGGCATATGATGGGAGGCAGCCAATGACTCCGCGGCGCTCCTCCGGGGGCCCTCAGTGTGCGTTTGAGGAGAACAAAAAAGAGAGAGAGAGAGCCGAGCGGGGGAGCGAGCGAGGGAGCCGAGCCGAGAGAAAGAGCCGCCGGGCGCTGCCTCGCTGGACTTCGCCGGGACCGCGGGGCCACCGGGAGGCACTTTTTGTGGAGGGGGGAGGGGGAGCGACCTCTGCAGCCGCGGCGCCCGGGGCGTCCGAGCGCCGTGTGGGGTGGGCTGCGACCTCTGCCTCGGTGGATTGCATTTTTAATTAAGGATTCCCAGCAGCTCTTTGGGATTTTTACAGTTTCCACTCATGTGTTGACACTCGCGTTTGGGAGAAACTCGCTCTAAGTGCATCTAGCGCCTGGGACCTGAGACGGAGTTGGCCTTTCGTGCATGCAATTCCAGGGATTTGGGGTTTGTTTGGGGTTTCTTTTTCTTCCATTTTTTTTTCTTTTTGCAGGGAGTAAGACGAAAACTGAGAGTATCAACAAGCCTGCCTTTCGGATCCTGCAGGAAAAGCCCATGTAGTTAAAGCGCTTGGGTTTTACAGGCAGGGCTTCCCAGGCACATTTAGGGGGTTCGGCGCGAGCGCTTTGTGCTCATGGGCCAGCCGCGCAACTTTTGAAGGCTCGCCGGCCCATGCGGGGACTTTTTGGCGGCGCGCCGCCTGCGGTCCCCCTCAAGCGCCGGGGCTGGAGTTGCTGAGCAGCCCGGCCACCGGGGTCCATGTAGCCGCTGGCCGGGCGCAGACTTCGGCTCGGCGTGCGCGTGTTCCTCGCCGGCCCACCCCGGCGAGCTCCCTCATGTTGCAGCCCTGCGGCGCCCCTTCGACGACAGGCTGTGCGCGGTCTGCACGGCGCCCGGCGGCGGTGCTTCATGTGGGGCTGCGGCCCGCGCAGCCGGCGCCTCGCTGAGGGAACGGACCCGCGGTAACCGGAGACCGCCTCCCTCCCACCCCCGGCGCCAAAGGATATCGTATGTTCAGGTCCAAACGCTCGGGGCTGGTGCGGCGACTTTGGCGAGTCGTGTGGTCCCGACCGGAGAGTGCGCAGCGGCGGCGGCGCGACAGGATGGAGCTTGGCAGC